ATATATATATATACACACACACACATATATAGTCATATATTAAAATGAAAACAAAGTATACTTATAAATATTTTTTAAAAGAGAATAGATACATTCCTATTTAAAAAACAAAAGCATTTCTATTAATCAGTTCTTTTGGCATTCTAAAACAAATATATACTGCTAAAATTTCTTTCTGGAATTAAACTCTGGTGATCTTCGATTAAAACTAAGTAATAAATGCATTTAAAAGATGGTGATCTGACAGAAGTAGCGGGCAAAGAAAGTACACAGTACATTTTCAAGAGCCAAATGAAGAACTTTATTTCAAATGATTAAAAACTGAATTATTAATCTCTTATTGAATACAACTGTGTTCTGAGTTTAGCAAGAAAAGGGAGAGTCAAAGTGAGAATCTATGAATTATCATTTAAAAAGTAATTAATAATATACATTTGTAATGCTCATGAAACATAGCACAAATTATTAACAGATGCCTACTTGACAAGACAACTTACTGTGGGCAGCCTGGAGAGGAAAAGCTGAAGTAAATTCACCAAAACTGCAGCTAGATGAAAGCATTCTAAATGCTGGACAGCCAGAAATTATGTAAATGATAAAAGTTAAAGGAAAAAAGAAAATTGAAAGAAAAAGCTTTAAGACAATACACAGAGATAAAAGTTAAAAAGAAAAGTAATTAAGCTATAGATCTAAATAAAGGTGCAATGAGTTTCTGTAAACTTATGGGAATATATTCAATGTTTAAAGACCAATTTCTGCACAGAAAACTATTTCCAAGTTTGATGAAAATGATCATTAAATAGTCTACTCTTTAATAATAATGTTTCAATTTATTTTCCCAAGCTTGTGAACCTAAAAATCACTTACATTTTCAATTTGGTAGAAGTCAGCTAGCATCCTTTATTCAGAGGTATAAGTTAGCCTAAATCAGTGTATTTCAAGATCCCAAAATACTTTAGCACTTTAATGCCTCTGTACATAGGAGACTTACAGGAGATTCGTGTGCAGGAAAAGGAAGAAAATGGGTGTTGTAAATTAAGACGACATACCAAAAGTTCAGAAAAATAAATGAACAGAAAAAAATAAAAGATTTCAGGTTTCCCCAGAGCTTTGCAAGACAGAACTATTTTAAATTAGGTAATTGCAGAATTTACGTTTAGAGTAATTTTTCAAAACTACATCCAGAGAGTTTTGTTTTTTAAAGTAAACGCTCAAGCATAATTTTGGAGAAGCTCTACCTGTAGTTTGGGGCTGAAAAGGAGAGTGACTTGCTGTGGGGAAACCTCCAAAATTACTCGAACCACTAGACTGTCCAAATGCATCAAAGTTTGCAAAATCTGCATTTGCAGAATTCTGAGCTGTAAATGGTAAGGAACAACACATGTTAATGAATATGAAAACTGAATGAAAAAACATGACAAATGAATTTAAGAATTTTAGGAAAGTTTCCATGTAACTACAACTCACTTTTAAGAAATTCATTTAGAAATCAGATTTTAGATTCTACTGTCACTTACCCCACTTACAAACAACTTAACCCAGATTTCCAAAAACACTTTGTGCAATGATAAAATTGGACACAATGCACTTTGAATAACCTCTGGAATAGTACTATAAAAGTGACTCGATTAACAAAGAAAACAATTCTGAACATTAAACTTGTAAGTTACAGTAAAGCCATAAAATATATTCTGGAAAATTCACTGATTGAAAATGGTACTCAGCTATGGAAAACTAAGTAACAATTTATATATCTAACATAATGACACAAGGATTATTCAATTACATTAATAAATATTCTTTGTGAGCTTTTAAAATATTTATAAATATGTCACACTATGAGCATATAAAAATGAATGTACATGATCACCAAGCTATGCACATTCTATCATTATTAAAGGCCTGCCATTTTAAAATTTGTATTGAAATTGAAGAAACTATGAAAGCCAGTAGAAATTATAACATGATTCAACACTTCACTATACATTAAATATGTAAGTAAGTAAAGCAATTCAAGTTTTTCTAAAAGGTCAAAACATATTCTGGAAAGAATTTTATAGAGAACAAGCGAAGGATAAGAAATGGCTGCTATGTGGGAAAAGAAATGCTAAGAAGGAAAAGCATATCCAAAGGATGGAAAAAGGTTAAATGTCCTGAACACAGTAAAAAGCAGCCACTTTAAATCCCTTACAGGCAATTCTATGTCTCACAAGTTTTTTGTAGAACATAATCTTGCAAATAAGTATGGCTATATCTATGTGATGTATTTTTTGTAACGTAAAAAATTAGAAATGTGAAATGACTACCAATAAGAGAGCACTTTATTATATCATGGAATATAACAGTACAATTGAAAATCATATTAAATATTTAATCCTAATTAAAAAGTGTCCCAAAGTAAATAAGCTAAACAAGTTAATAAACTCAAAATAAACTTAACATTTGCCAAGTTGGTTAAACTGAGTATGGTGTTACGTGCATAGAAATCTACATTTTAGTTAACCTTGGTAGTGGGATTTCAGATCAGTTTCACTTCTTTATGTTTGTGTGAGTTCGCCAAGCTTTTGCAATGAATATGTACTCGTCTTGTAAACAAACCAAAAAAGCTACTGAACCAAAAATTTTTCCACTAACAAGGTAACATATTAACCATTATTCCAGGAAGAAAATGGGGCAAACTTAGGGCATTTTCTGTATTTACTGTTTCATATACATATGAAAGGGTGTGAGAGCAGGGGAGAAAAGGTACCTAAAGGTACCTGCTTCCCTTCCCTTGTGTTCTGAAAGGTGGAATGCTGTATGGCTCACAGTCTGCTCTTCCATACCTTTTTCAACAGAGTTCTCCCTATTTCTCAACACCACACAGAACTTAAGGTAAAAAGCTGAATAGTATACTGTGCAACAACAAAAATTCTCTATTTTATGAATACCCTGCTATCTTTTGTCACCAGTTTTATTAAACAAAATTCAATTTCTTTACAGACTGAAACTACTTTTCAGAAAATAAAATGAAACAAATACATAAATAATTAAAAAATAAACTTCTTGGGGCCAGCAAGTGGTGTAGTGATTAAGGCATTGGACTACCACATGGCCGACAGTAGTTCAAGTCCCACTCCTGGAGGCTTGAAAATCATGCAGTGATACAGGTGCATGTGTGCCCAAAATCCTGAGAGAATGGAGGGGAAGGGTCACCTGCCCTGGGGGGTGATGTCTTACTTTCTCTCCATCTCTGTCTTTTGGCAAGCATATGCATCCCCTACAGCAAAGATCTCTCTTAAAAATAAATAAATAAATAAATAAATGCCCTGAAACCTAAATCACTGTATATAGCCTTGGGCAAGTTCTTCAATTGTTCAGTTTTCTCATTAACAAAAATGTGAGGATTTACCAAATGGTCTCTATTAGAGCAATTCACCACTATGATACTATACCTTACTTGAGAACAGTAATAAATATAAGAGCTTTAAAACACTTGCCAATTAAGAAACACAAAATGGAAAATTATTTGTTGAAGATAACAGATATGGTAATATCTTTGAGCCAATATAAAGTGTATTCTGGATGGGAAAATTCATTTTGTATGCTGTAATGATATACAATGAGTGAATGCAAAATAAAAAATTAATTAATTAAAATATTTGCCAAAAAGAATAAACTCCTGTCAAAAGACAAATTAAGTTCTAGGCTAAACTACGTACTATATAAATCATGTAACATAATGGAAAGAATATGAGTAAAGTAAGTTCTCAAATTCAGAGTGAGCTATGTTTCAAAAGGCAGGTTCCTATCCTTTTTGTTTTTAATTTCTTCTTGATTTATGACAGAGCACATGCGCACGCACACGCAAACACATGAGAGTGGAGGGTGGGGGGAGGAGGACAGTGAACATCCTCCGTAGGGGGATCAGGCTACAACCCCAGCTCCAGTCCTCCTATTCCTCTGGGCCTAGTCATTTGCTCAGGGGTCCCACATGTTTCAGGATAAGAAGGCCAGGGACTCCAAACATGGTTACCATGTGTGATGTGGCTTCTCTAGACCATCACATGACCACTACACCACAGAGCTGGTGGCCCTCCTGTGTTATTTGAACAACTTAGTTTTACATTTGAGAACAAATGAAGCACATTATTCTCTTATAGAATGGGAATCAAGTCCCCAGGCTGGTTTATAACTTAGAACACCTATGCATATGTAGCATATAATAAAGATACGTTTTCTATACTTAGAACATCATAGGGAGAAAATCTCTGAACAAGTTTTAAACACCATCAGGAAAAAAGTTCACTTCAACACAAACCATTATTCTTAATTAAGCCCACTTTTTTAAAATCACATTTACTGGGTTGTCAGAAAAGTCATGATGCATTTTTTTCTACGTCTTCCTATACAAAAATGCGTCATGACTTTTCCAACAATCCAGTATATTCTTCAGTGTTTTCTAGCCAGATCCCCAAACACACTAATCAACTACCTATTCAACATGGTCAGTCAGAGCTCTGAATGCCCACTGTCCATAATGCTTGGGACCAGAAGTGTTTGAGATTTAAAAAATTTTTTCTAATCCTGGAATACCTGCACACATGTAATGAGATACCTTGGTGATGTGACCAAAATCTAAACATCAAAATCATTTATGTTTCATATTTACCTTTTACATATAGCCTGGAGGTAATTCTATATAATATTTTTGCATTGCAGCATTTTCACTCTAACCCATCACATGGGGTCAGGTGTGGAACACTCCATTTGTAGTCTTATGGCAGATTTCATATTTTGAAATTAAGAATGTGCAACCTATTCTTTTATCACTTTTTATTTCTATGCATTGAATCTATTCACTATTTTCAACAAGTTGTTATAAGGGCTGTGAAATAAAACTTAGAAACACAACTTTGGAAGTTAAATACTAATAAATGCAGTAATATAAAAATTATCTAGGTCTTGAAGCAATCACTGCATAAAGAAATCCCAATGAACAGAATGTGACAAAATAAGTAACAATGTTTCTTAAATAATCTCATTTGGAAAAGTACAAAGGAATTAAGTCAGTAAGGAATTCAAAGTAACAAGTTAATGAGTCTGAGTCCTGCAACAGTTCTTTCTCTTCAATGAGAAACAGGTAAGTCCTGAAAGAACAGGAAAGAGAGAGCCCAGAGGGTGCAAACTGGCAGCCATCTGTAAACTGATCTGACAGAGACCCTTTGTTTCAGCTGTACAGCATTTAACATTTTTCATTAATTCTCAACATTTAAAAAGAGAACTTTTCACATTAGAACAAATAAATAAAATTTAAAAAACAAGAGAGCAAAGAAGTGGCATGGTGGTTAAGACACTGGATCCCACATTAGCCTATTCTACAGTTGAGTTTTAGACCCAGTAACTTGAAAATAACACCAGGCAGGAAAATAGAGAAGGAACTGTGGTGTGGCCATTCCTTACCATCCCCCCAAATCCAGCACGCTCCTACCCAAGTGCAGGCACCCTATGGCAAAAATCTAAAACGAAACAAACACAACAACAACAAAAAAATAAGGGCTAGTTGGTGGCATGGGGGTTAAGGTGGCCAGGGACCGCATGGCCAATTGCACAGTTCAAGTTCCTGACCCAGCAGCTTGAAAGACTTGCTAGGCACATGTGCATGCCCAAAATCCTGAGAAAGTAGAAAATCCTGAGAGGAAAGTGGAAAAGGCACTGCAGGGACTGAGGTGCAGCCATCCCTCTTGGAAGGTAATTTCTCACTTTCCCTCCCTCTTTCTCTGTATCAGGTGAGCACCTGCACCTTGCAGCAAATTTAAAAAAAAAAAAAAAGAATTAATTAGGACCAGGAGTTAGCATAATGGCTATGTCACTGAACTCCCATGTAGCTGACTGCGGTTCGAGTCCCGCCCCGGGGGCTTAAACTCACGCCAAGCACGTGTGCATGTGTGCCCAAGATCCCAAAAGGAAAATGCAGGAGAAGGGACTGTGGCGTAGCCATCACCCCTGGGGGATGATTTCTCACTTCCTATCTCTCTGTCTCTTTCTCTGTATTAATTTAAAAATTTGCTTCTCTTAAATCAATATATTTAGTAATCCCGAGCCCACATTTCCATGTGGCAGCCGAAGATTAGAACACCCCTTAAAAAGTGACCACGGTTCCTTCTGTATCACCTTTCTCATCTGTTTTACCTGGTTGCAGGATCCCTACTATAAGGTATGACAAAACCAATTACAGCTTACTGGTCACAGGTTTTGGGATAGGTTTATTACCAAACAAGCGACCTGGCTACCCCCCCCCGGGGGGTGATTTCTCACTTTCCCTCTGTTTGTCCCTTTATCCAGTGAGTGTACATGCCCTATAGCAAAAAATCTCAAACACAAAACATCAAATTCTATAGGTGAACTATGTTTTAAACTTCACATAGTCTTCTGTAGAAGATGGCTTTTTCTAACACAAATATGTCTCCACCCACCACCTTAGTGAGAACATTCACAGGAAGCATAAAGAGTTCTGGCTTTTAAACCACTAAATTATTTGCAAAAGAACGAGTTTCCCTTACAAAATAATGCTACCCAAACTGGCATATCTATTAAAAGGTTCCATTTGTCACAACAAGGTACTCAGGTGAAATTTCCACCTAATATTTAAAAAGACAGAGAATTGCATGGTAAAAACTCAGCTATCAATCACTTTATTTTAGAACCACATATGGAAAAATAAAGACTGAGAATGCATGCAAAAGCTCTGGAAAACAACTTTTCAGTTGAACTATAACACTAACTTTACCTTTAAACTACTTAAAATGTCAAGGACAGCACTGACTATACCAGAAGTAGAAAAAAGGGAGTAACTTATTACCTTCTTGCAATGGCATGTACTTTTTATTCTCCTAGAATCAAAATAAAAAGTCAAATGATGTTTAAAAAACAGTGACTTGAATAGTCTTTCATAAATAAGAACTTGAGACTAAAAGAGGTACCTTGGGATACCTATATGGCTATCCCTTACTGTTTGTACCGTACATGAGGAAAGGGCAAAAAGTTAAGACCTTCTCACTTTTTATCACTATCATAAAAATACAGGTTTCTTTCCTTTTTGCATATCCTACAATGATAGAATGGCTATCTTTTTTCAAAAACCATTTTAAGGGAATTACTGAGCATAACTGCAATCATAGTACAAATTAATCTGTGGAACTACAGTGATTTTTCTACATTTTCTGGCTAAAATGCTTAAAAAGAAAAATGTAGCATTTATTCCTTGACCTGTGACTATTCACAAAATGCATACAAAGACATACAATGTAAAATGAATAAGTCCTAAATTTACAAAAGAGTTTGGTAGCTACTTATCAGTAATTCCAAATTAATTTCAATAAACCTAAAATAGAGATGAAACTGGAAGATATTGATAAATTACAGAAGTTTCGCTCTGTGTAACATGACTCTTCGTCAACTTCTTTCATGCTCATTCAAAGCAAGTAGTAGGAACAGAGAGCTTGCACTCCTGCCTATCTGAGAAGTAAGACTTCTCGTGTGGAGGGTAAGGGAAAGGAGCTCTCTAAGTGTTCTGAGCTTTTGCACCTCAGCTAAGGTAGAAGAGAAGGACAACATACCACAGCCACAACTATTTAAGCTTCCTGATTTTTATTACCCCTCTCAGTAACATCTCTCCTAGAAGAGAGATCTATATCATTCTAGGATTGCTTTACAAAGCAAACCCATATATCAAACATACACATATTATACTGTAATTTCAGAAAAGCGAGTCCTGAGAAAACATTATTATTATTTAAAACAAAAAGTTCTTCTGGTGTTTGCTAGAAAGCAATGTCTCTGGAGAGTAGCTTTTCTACAATTTTTCAAACTACCCCAAACAGCATTCCTGTGGTGTGTATATACAAGGGAAACTAAAGTTAAAGTACAAGTTTATTTTGCTGCCAAAAAAACTGAAAACCATACATCAATGGGCCAGCCATAGTTTCATGGTCAATGAAACTAGATCCCGCATGGCTGACCAGAGATTGAATATGTGCTTGAAAAACCTGCCAAGCACATATGCGTGCATGCCCCAAATTCTGACAGGATAGAAAAATGGAAGAGAAGGAATTGTGGCATGACCATGCACAAGAGTGCTTTCTTCCCAACTCCCCACTCCAGTTTCTCTCTCTCTCTCTCTCTCTCTCTCTCTCTCTCTCTCTCTCTCTCTCTCTTTCTCAGGTGTGTGCACACACCAGGTAGCAACTAAAAAAAAGGAAAGAAAAAAAGAAATCCACATAATCATAAAAATATATATGCAAGGGGTCTTTAAAAAGCTCACAGAAAATGTGCACTAAAAACTATGCATAGGTTTCAAAACTGGGGCCACCAAAATAAACTTTAATACCATTTTGACACTTTTTGAAGTATGCGTGAATAGAGGAGAAAGGATTGTGGCATGGCCATCCTCCCTGGGGGGTGACTTCTTGCTTTCTCTGTCTCTGTCTCTCTGTCTCTCTCTATCTTCATAGCGAGCACACGTGCCCTATAGCAAAAACCTCTATTAAAAAAAATGAAATCATCTGAGCATTAGTAAGGACAGTAATTACAACAAATTTAGTATGGCAAATGTTTAAATCTATGAGGTCATAATGATACTAAAGAAAAACAAAGGCCACCATTAGAAACTGCTAAGGAATTAATTCATCAGCAAATAATCAAATAATCAATCATGTATTCTGACTTTCCTATATAAACCACAATACTAGATAACCCAAATTTTTAAAGAAGGATTTCCACTGATAAGTTAAGGAATGATACATTTAGAATATCATTTTTCCTAATAAACTCAAGCACTGACCATCAGCAGCTAAAAGAGACAATCCGGAATTAAGTGTCTCTTAAACCAAAGTAGTAGGCATGTCCTCTAACCACCTATCTCCCAACACACACACACACACACACACACACACACACACACACACACATATCCTGTAACTGATCTAGTTTCTAGATCTAACTAACAATTTACAACAGAGGAACTTGTTAAAGAACGCAACTGTGGTACAATCAACAAAATCAGATTACTGAAAATAATACAGAACAAAAACTTAATAAGTTTCTTTAACAAATGATAAAGGAGGGGAAAAAAGATAGGAAAAGAAGCTTTTAAAGACTAATACACTTAAATGCTGTATCTCACAATTAGAACATGTGGACCATATTTGAAATCTAATTCAAAAAACAGTATATACTGATGTACTTGTGTGTATAGTATATATAAACATAACAAATTTGGAATGAAATGAAAATCTGAATACTGAATAATAACAATTACTATTATTTTGTGATACTACTACTACTATAGCTATGTTAACAAAGAAAGTCCTTTAGCTTTATTGACATATATGCAAAAATGTTTAAAGATAAACTAAAATTGTGTCTAAAATTTGCTGTAAAAAATATGAATGGGGACCACCAGATGGCATAATGGTTACGTTGCTGGACTCTCACATGGTTGACAGTGGTTCGGGTCCCAGACCCGGCAGCCTGAAACTTGTGCCGGGCACCTGTGTGTGCATGTCCAGGGTCCCAAGAGAAAAGAGGAGAACGGGTTGCAGCATGACCATCCCCCACAGGGGTGATTTCTCGCCTTTTGTCTCTCCTGTCTCACTCTCTCTGTCCACCGGGCACACATGCCCTATAGCAAAAAATGTCTCTCAAAAAATAAAATGAGTGGGTGGAATGATAAGTGAAATAAGACTGGCCATGAGGAATTAGAAAATAAAAGTGGTTTTACCTGGTTACTCTTGAATATTTGCAACTCTCCATAAAAATAGAGTAAAAAAATAGAAGTCTTTCTCCATTTTTCCATGAAGAGAGACCATATCTGATGTTAAGTATATTCTCTTCTGTAGTTATAAAACACCACAGTTTCATGGTCACATATTTCATCTCCACAGTTTTAAGTGACCAAACACCCTTAACAGAACATATTTACTGATACTTAGGATTAATGAAGAGTGAAGAATGAATATTTCACAGTATTTTATAAACATCTCTGGCAAAAGCTGTTGAGAAAAAACACTTACCTGCATGACTGTTGAAATGTGCAAAGTTAGCAAAATTGGCCGTTGCTGTTGACTGAGGAGCTGGAGCAGCAAAGATATCTGAGCCAAGATCACTTAAAAGGTCAAACTGCTTCTTTTCCGGCTGCTGCCCCTGAGAGCGACCTACAACTGGGGACTATAAACCACATATTATCTATAAAGACTTCCTAGTCAGAGCTGCTAAATTTATTTATAAAACTATATCAGCTGAACTTACTATTGAAAGTATTTTGATTAATTAAGATATTTTGTGAATCAATACAATGTGGGAAAGAAGAAAAGAATGGAAAGCAACTGCAGATACCAGAGACGGGGTAGGAGGAGAATGGGAAATGGCAGAGGGTGAGAAATAGGGGAGGAAATATATATATACAAGAAACAAGAAATGGAAAATTATTTGATGATGATAACATGTGTGATTAAGCCACTTTACAGTGTATTCTGGTTGGAAAATTGCATTTTGTATGCTGTGATGTTCAGTGAAAGAATGTAAAATAAATAAGGTAATAAAAAATAACAAAAAAAGTTAAATAAAATAATTTTAAAAAAAAACTCTACCCTCCACCCCATCAAGCTTAACATATTCATACATAGAAAAAGTTACAATATATTGACTTAGTCCTCTTTGTTTTCCATTTTTTTCACTCAACCATTCTGTGAAAACAGAGCTATTGATCTAGATGCCCTAGTATGCATTATTAGAAATGGTTGAATTTAATCCACAATACAGCTATCTTCTGGTATCTGCAAGGGACTACTTCTAGGGCCCCAGTGGATAACAAAATTTGAAGATACTAAAGTCCATTATATAAAATGGTACTTTCATATAACCTAAATATACCTTCTGTATACTTTAAATCACTGCTAAGAAGTAATCTTTAGTATAAGACACAAGCAAAAAAGAAAACACAAACTTCTTTGGCATCTCTTTTTAAAGGAGCCATCTCTTCCCTACAGCATGGATATGAGACCTGCAAGTATGTGAGATGACTGTACTACTGCATGGACATGAGATCTGCAGGTATGGTGAGCTGACTGTTCTATGCCTCAAAAGCATTCTTACATAGCACAGATGTTGCAATGTCACACAGTAACAAATCAGTCAAAGCCCCTTCAACTAGAATAAAGTGCACAAGTAAAAATTTTACATATTAGCTTAGAAAAGACTTCTGTCTGTTCAGTTTTCAAGAATAAGATATAATGTTGGACCAGCAGGTAGGCGCTGAGTCCCACATAGTCAATTTCAGGTTCGAGTCCCAGACCCAGTCGCTTGAAAATACTGCCAGGCATGTGCACATACATGCCTAAAATCTCAAGAGGGAAATGAAGAAGCACCTGCAGCATGGCCAAACCCCCTGCAGGCTGATTTCTCACTTTCTCCCTCTCTCTGGCAAGTACATGCACCCTACGGCAAAAACTAAAAAAAAAAGAATAAGGTATAATACAAAGCTATCTGTGTTTCAATGATAAAAATACAACACAATGAAGAATGTGGGGAAATTCTCTTGCTTAAAAGAAATCCCTTTCTGTAAAAGTACTTTTTAGAGGCTCTTCTATTCTAGCTCTGACAGTCACCACAGATTTATAGTTCACTAATTGTATATTATATGATAAATAACTACAGCAATGTTCCTATGTACCCTTACAAATTTGTAGAGAAGCCCAAAGACATTCATATTAGCAATAGCAAACAATCCTTCTAACCATTTAAATAATCTTATGTTTTATAAGCCATGAGGACATAATGCTACCAGAATACAAGGTTATGCTGCTGTCTTAATGACAACGACTTCTCAAATTCTTTATACTCAATCCTCTTTCAACAGAAGTCTCTACAAAGATGTAAAGACTACTCACCTGACTAGGCGTGCCCTTATTTAAGTGCAGTGCTGGTGCAGAATCTCCTAAAAGAGATTTCAGTGGTTTGACCTCGGGTGTGCTGCTTGTGCTACTGGCAGAGGACCCTGAAATAGACGCATGAACTGATGCCACTACTTTGGCTTGTTCTGGTGGGACATACCTACAACATGTGAAAATATGGACAGGTAGTTAACTAAGAAAATGTAGGAGTCCTATAATAAAAAATGATAAACTCAATTCTAACTTTGTAACGAGACTGTGTCAACATCAATCTTATTTAAGAACTCATTTAGAATTGACAGCTTAAGACTGAAAATTAAAATATTCAGAGAAAGAGTAATGAAGATTAATCACGAAATTTATTTCAACTATTTACTTACGTTTTTTTAAGATAATAAATATAACAACTTAAGAAAACCTACAGTTAATCATCATGATAAATAGTTGACACTGGACTTTCTTTAAAAGCAAAAATAAAGATCATAAGTAACATGTGGAGATAGACAAGAAGAAAATATTTATTATACTGTAATGAGTAATTTAAAATATAAAGGCCTTGGGACCAGCAGTTAGCATAATGGCTATTTCACTGGACACCCACATAGTTGACCATGGTTCGAGTCCGGACCCAGTGGCTTAAAACACACCAGGAGCGTGTGCGTGCGTGCCCAAGATTCCAAGAGGAGGAAGGAGGAGAAGAGCCTGTGGCATTGTCATCCCCTCTGGGGGGTGATTTCTCGCTTTCTGTCTCTCTCTGTCTTTCTGGTGAGTGCACGCGCCCTATAGCAAAAACCTTTCCAAAACAATAAATAAATAAAATAAAATAAAATAAAATAAAATATAAAGGCCTGTTACAAATCTGTAAGGATAACATCAATAAGGCTACCTGGTGGCATGTTTATTAAACAGCTGAATCTCACATGACCGACTGTGCTACTCAAGTCTGTGACATGGACGCTTGAAAAACATGCCAGGTATGTGTGCATGCATGCCCAAAATCCTGAGAAAAGAATGGAGAAGAGATTGCAGTATGGCCATCCCCTGTGTTTTCTTGCTTACTGTCTCTCCAGTGAGCACATGTTTTAGTAAACCAGGAAACAAAATAGTGAACTAGTAAAAAAACCCTCAACTGTCCCATTTAAAAATGGACAGAAGAAACAATTCACCAAATCAAAACACTTAAAACCTAATAAAAATATAAATGATAGTATTCGCCTTTCTGTCTCTCTCTGTCTTTCTGGTGAGTGCACGCGCCCTATAGCAAAAACCTTTCCAAAACAATAAATAAATAAAATAAAATAAAATAAAATAAAATATAAAGGCCTGTTACAAATCTGTAAGGATAACATCAATAAGGCTACCTGGTGGCATGTTTATTAAACAGCTGAATCTCACATGACCGACTGTGCTACTCAAGTCTGTGACATGGACGCTTGAAAAACATGCCAGGTATGTGTGCATGCATGCCCAAAATCCTGAGAAAAGAATGGAGAAGAGATTGCAGTATGGCCATCCCCTGTGTTTTCTTGCTTACTGTCTCTCCAGTGAGCACATGTTTTAGTAAACCAGGAAACAAAATAGTGAACTAGTAAAAAAACCCTCAACTGTCCCATTTAAAAATGGACAGAAGAAACAATTCACCAAATCAAAACACTTAAAACCTAATAAAAATATAAATGATAGTATTCGCCTTTGATCTGAATGTGAGCTTTACAAACCTCTGTTGCTATCTACTGAAACATATACACAAGTATGTTCTGTGCCAGAAGCACGACTTCCGGAAACTCATCCTCAGGAATTAACTGGGTAAGTATACATAGATTCATGGACACGGATATTACCACAGTACTCTGTAATTCCAAAAAACTAGGGAATGAGCCAAAAACATCTATCAAAAAAAAATATTTAAAGCGATTATGCTAAAAATCTGTATACTACAATAACAACATAGGGATTCTGCTTTAACATGGAACAACGTCCATAATATTTCACAGGTCTTTCAGGTTTGACCCAAGTCCTATAAGATTCGTTGAGGAAAGGAATGGAGGAAGGGAATTAAGAAAGGAAAGAGAAGTAGTAAAGATGTAATGCTTAAATGTCGACAATTTTATTATCTAAGGATTCTGTCCTACCCTCCACTTCATCTGCCATATAAGTAAGGGGAAGGAAACAGGAAAACAACATGGTCAAGAACATCTATTCCAGAGACAGAGTTCAAATCCCAGGTCTACCTCTCAGTAGCTGTGAAACCTTGGGCAAACTACTTCAACTCTTTGTGTTTCCATTTTTCATTTATAAAATGGAAATACAGATGCTATGACCTTTAACTGTAACATCTGGAAAGCACTTAAAGCAGTTCTTAGTACAGGTATTAACTATGTAACTGTTAGTTATTACCATAAACAATAAAGCTTTTTTTTTTGGAGAGATTTTTGCTATAGGGCATGTGTGCTCACCAGACAGACAGAGAGAGAGAAAGTGAGAAATCACCCCCCCAGGGGGGATGGTCATGCCGCAATCCCTTCTCCTCCATTCTCCTCTCAGGATCTTGGGCACGATCACACATGTGTCCGGCATGAGTTTAAGCCACCAGGTCCGGGACTCGAACCGTGGTCGACTACGTGGGAGTCCAGCGACATAGCCATTACACTAACTGCTGGTCCCAACAATAAAGCTTTTGTTTTTAAATTCAGAAAACGGAAGACGACAAAGAATGAGTAAGAAGTCATGTTTTCCATTAACTGGGTATACCAATAGTGACAAAAATTCCTGAGTACAGCCATGTCTTATCAAGAAAAAATGCCAGATAATAGTTTTTGGTTCAAAAGAATCACCTAACTGAAAGGAAAGAAGCTATTTTTGTATAATACAAGAAGTGATTTTGGAAATTGGTCAAAAGGACAATTTCAGAATCCCCTTGAAAAACAACATCATCACTGCTGTAAAAGCAGTTTCCTACATTAAGTATTTTAGGGAGATTGCCTTTGTATAGTGCTTATATACCACATTAAAAGTCCATTTCATTACTCTCAGGTTAATATAAAGGTGTTTTTGGGAAAACGGATTTAACGTGTACAGATACTGGCCCTCTGGTATAATACCATCACTCTCTCTCCACCCATCAACTTAAGTTTGTATTTTTTATTATTATCCTATTTCTTAGGAAAGAAGAAAATAACATGAATTATAAGTATTTGAAGTTTTTAACTATTTAGGTTATGGTGTAATGAGTAATTCATTACTGTTATAGGGATGGAGATCTACGGGTTTAAATCTATCAAGTGTCATTCACACTCAATAGTCTCATAATAGCTACAGTTAACCTATCTAAAATCGCAGCTAAGCTTAACCAAACTGACTTTATGAGTTGGTAAGAGTAACAATGCTGACAAAAATCAATAATTAGGTTCAGGCTTCAGAAGGAGAACAATCTTATCTATAGGGTGGAAGATATTAATAACCAAAACAATAAAAGGACAATTAAACCTTTTATTTTAAAAGAATCATTAACGCCCCCATATTACTACTCCCCACCTTCTAATATTTTCTTCTTCCTCAAACTAAAATATACCAGTATATTCTAATCTATGTATCTACTGCAACTGATTATAACCCTAATTAATCTTTCCTTGTAAAAAGTAATCTGTTGTAGAAAGTAGTAAGAATACAAATTTCAGTAAGTCGGAGTTAATGTGTTTACTGAATAAAGGTCTTAAAGACCTCTCCCTTAAAACCACAGCCAGTGTTCTCTCAGGCCCCAAAACAGGCTCTGAATATATCATTTTCTGGGTTAAAAAAACATTCCTCAGAGAAACAAGATGCCATTTATTTCCCCATTACCCATTCCCTCTATTTAGGACTCTACCCCATCCCAATTATATCAGCTTCTCAGGAAGGACATACACTGTTCAATGTTAACGAAACAACCTAAAGAGCTCATAGTAAATGAGTCTTAATCAACTGCACTTAAATTGTGCTCACATAACTAAAAAGAAAACAGCCCTGAGTAGCTGAACACTATCTCTATGTATACAAGCTACATGTATAACCATGGAGAAATTTCTTTTTAAAAATTAACATCTGATAGATTTAGTTAAAGGAATATATATATGTTCCCTTCTCAATCAGATAGTAAACTGATTTCTTGGGTGAGAAGAGATATTTTGAGCAAAAACTTACTGCAGGATACAATTAGGTGGACATATTACTATGCCAGAGCTTTAGCATAATGCTTAGTAAACAGGAGATACTACTTAATAAATCCTTGTTAAATGAATGAAGATTTTGAGAAAGGAGTCTTTGTGGACTAAAAATGTCTAGAGGAGTTAACAGGGCTAGGTAAGGATTAAAAGGAAGGATTCCCTAACATTGCAAAAAGTATAGGTAGGATGCCGGGTAATCACACTAATAAAATGGCTGCTGCTAGACACGAATGAGTCACGATAAAGTTGAAGTCAAGATTTTTGGAAACGAAATCCAATAAAAGGCAAAGGATTATGATGAGTACCTACCTACCTCCTTCACGCCTGCCTGCCTGCCTTCATCATGTCAGACTAACACTACCCATAATTAATGTGATATGAGGTGGCTTTACTCTAAATACGAACTATTCACTCACCATCTTTTCTTTTCATATTTTTCTTGTAGAAACTCTTTCACTTTTTGTGGATCCCTGAAGTCTGGAATTGCTGAAGATCTATCATCAAATAATCCTAGCCAAATCTGTTTACAGACCTTTGGAAAGAATTAAAATAAAAAAAGTGTTAAATTCAACATCTTCACTTAATGAAATTTAAGGGGAAATTATGATTCTTTAAAAAAATCTAACCTACTTAATTTTAATATTATTTTCAATGAGAATATTCATTACAATCAGAAATGAAGGAACTAAATTTATTTCAATATGATGCACTATGCAGTAAAATTATGCAACAGAATTCTAAAGAAGAGCACCTCATAGGGAAACAAACTGTGAAGCAGGACATGAAAGGGCCTGGGGATTTGTCTAGCAAAGTCATGTAACCTGTATGTATCTCAGTTACAAAGGAACTAAATCAGTTACAATTAAGTGGGCTCTTGAGCAAATTTAAAACTCAACCATAAAACAAACACACACTAGAATGATGAACAATATGCTATTAAATTATGAAAATAATAAGCACAAATACACAACAGACAATTTTAGCTTTATAGTTACCTATGCTTTTACCCAGTGGCCAATAAATGAGAATCTGAGATATTTAACTTTTTAGAAAAGTCAAGAGAAATGAAATGATACAGGACTCAGGATACATAGAGCACAAAAAGAACTGTGAAGAAAAAAAACCCTCATAAGTGGACTGTTAAAAACTGTCTAAAAATACTTAAAAATGAAAAGGCGAGGAACCACCAACTTATAAAAATGTATCTGCAAAATATGTAAGAATTTTTAAAGAAACTGGATCCAGAACAGTTGCCTAGAACAGAATGCCTAGAACTCAATTATAAAAAAGGCAAACAACACTACACTGTCATTAAAAGAAGACAAAAATCTGAATAAACAGTTCACCAAAGGTTTACAGATGGCAAATAAGCAGCCTAACATCATTAGTCATGTAGAAAATGAAAATGAAAATGACGAGATCCCACAACACAGACAAGCATGGGGCTGGCCCTCCAGCCTAGTGGTTTAGGGAACTGGATATGATATTGCCAACCAGATAGAATTCAGGACTCAATAGCCTGAAAGACACACCAGTTGCCTGTGCATGCCCAAAATTTTAACAATACAGAGAAATGGAGGAAAATGGACTACGGTGTGACCACGCCCCCTTAGGGGGTGCTTTCTCTTTCTCCCAACTCTGACAAGAAAACATGTTCTCTGGCAAAATTTTAAAAAGAAAACAAAAAACACAGATACACAGAGATACCACCAGAAAATGCTAAAAATAAAGTATAACCACACCATGTGATGGTGAAAATACAGAGCAATTGAACTCTTAAGAACATAAAATTGTACAGCATTATGAAAAACAGTTTGGCAATCACTTAAAGATTAAGCATATTCAACATATCACTCAAAATCCTACGTCTAAGTATTTACCCAAGAAAAAAAGATACCTGCCCACATTCAGATTTGTACACAAATATTCACAGGAGCTTTACTTACATTAACTCCAAACTGGAACACACAAAATGTACATAAATTATGGAATCTCCAAAGGCAGATATATTTTTATTTCGTGTTATTTCTTTTTTCCTTTTTTTTTAGTTTTTTTTTGCTGTAGGGTGCGTGTGTTCCAGAGATAAGAGAGAGAAAAATCACCACCTCCACCCCCCTAAGGGAAGATGGCCACATCATAATCCCTTCTCCTCCATTCTCATCCTGGGATTTCAGGTATACATACATGGCTGTTTTTCCAACCACTAGGTCTGGACTGAAAGAACACAGTTGATCATGTGAAATCCAGCACATTAATCACCACACAACCTGATGGTCTCATGTTATTTCTTATATCTATAATTTATCCCTTTTGGGGAGAGGGCAGTCAGTGGCAAGGCTGTAACACAACTGGACCCACATAGGAAAGGTCATGGATTAATATCCTGGGACCTCTCTAAGAATACTGTGTACATGTACATGCCCATGCCCATGATCTGGGCCAGCTAAAACTAGAGGTGGATTATGGCATGAAGACCATGTTGGGGTGCCTCTCTCTCTGTTTATCAAAGAAGAAATAAACAAATTTTTTAAAAAAGTTTGATCTTTTTAATTGCTGAATGAGTACCCTACCTGGAATATTCCACAAATGTTCCGATCATATCTACACCAATGAAAAGCAGATCAGCAGATGGGAAAGTCTTGGGGATGATAAAATGTTGTTACTGTAGTGGTAGTTCACATTGTACAAATATGTCCAAACTTTGTACACTTTAAGGCTCAGCTGCAGTGGCACAAGCAGAATGGTCCACTTTACAATGGTTAAAGCCATATAGGAGGCCAGGGTTCAGTTGCAGCCCAATCTATAAAATAGGCTTCAGCCTTTAGTCTAATTAATTGGGAGGCTTAGGGCAGAAGGGCCACAATATGCTAAGCCTTGTTAAAAATACTTACTTCTCGGAGCCTGCAGATAATATAGCAGCTAGATTCCCACACAGACAACCGCAGCTCGAATCCTAGACCCAGTGGCTTTAAAACACGCTGGGTGCATGTGCGTGAAAGTACCAAGATCCCTGGAGAATGGAGGAGAAGGGATTGTGGCAAGGCCATCTCCTCTGGAGTGTGATTTTTCACTTTCCTTCTCAATGTCTCCCAAAACGTAACTTTAAAGATTCTGTGACTTTACAATCATATCTACAGAGAAGGGACAGGAAGTTTCTAATTCTGCTTTAAAACTTCCTAAAACAGATGACATGGTAGTTCAAAGCCATCTAACTATTACTTGTAACTGATGGTATACTTTATGACATTTAGCTTTTGCATTCCAAAAACCCTACTAACTACCATACACAATTCTCTGAAACTAAAAACAAATAAATAATATGCATAAAAAAATAAAGTAGAGGTGCGATGGGCTAGGAGCAAACAAATCATGCACTCACCAGAAAGACAGAGGAAAAAGAAAAGGAGAAAGCACCTCCTATGGGGAATGGCCATACCACAATCCCTTCTTCGTCGCTCCCTCTTTTGGGGATTTTTGGCGTGCATACCTGTACCCTGCATGTTTCTCAAACCACACTATCTTGGACTCAAAGACAGGTTCAAATATGTGGAATGTGGCTCCCTTATCCACCAAGCCAGAGGTAACCCTCAAAATCCTTTACTGGGGCTGGCAGGTGGCATGGTAGTTAAGGGCACTAGACTCTCACATGACCTACTATACTACAGTTCAACCACAGTTCATAGTCCTGGACATGGCAGCTTGCTTTCTCACTTTCACTCCCTCACTCTCTCTCTCTGTCTCTGGTCAAATTAAAAAACAATAATAATAGTAGTAAATAAGAAAAATTAAATATTAAAAAAAATATCCTATACGAACTGTTGGTGTTTCTGCTCTTGCTGATAGGTCAAACTGTGAGGGAGTTACCTATTTAAGTCTACTATTAATTCATGCTGTCTCACTATTAAAGTTCCTTGATATTCACCAGTTAGCTCTTATTTTTCACTGGGTTACCCTACTACAGCTATTTCCTACATACTGACCCTCTTGGCTGTTGAATCAGCACTTAAGCAAGATGGCTCTCAAATATCATTTTCACAATTCCCTAC